AATATGCATGAAGCACTTTACGGACCACTTTTAAACACGACATGTTAGCCGTTGCCACAAATGTCATTCTGCGGGAATGCGCAATCTTGTATTCTATCGTTCTTGGTGATTTCCAATAGTGAAATGAACTGAAGGTGGCGCATTCCCGAAACCGCTACTTTGGTTTTGCCGACTTTGACATTTATGGCAATACGTAAACAAACTTTTTGTTTAGAAACAAGTGCAAACGTATTGCAAACGTATTGTGTACTTTCAAGTGAAAAATCGATGTGATTCGTGTGTACTGAAGTAAAAAACGTTTTATTTGTAATAAAAATTTTATAAAAATATCGTGTCGTGTGTTGAATTGCAGCAGCCGTAGGGGTAAAGCCCCCAAATGCAGTTTTTTTTTGTTTCCCCGCGACGACGCCTTGGCCTGAAAGTGGGTAGAGTTCTGCCGGCAGGAGAAGCCATAAAATTTATACACCAGCGTAATATGCATGAAGCACTTTTAAACACGACATGTTAAGTTGAAAACGTTGAAATACCACAAATTACAAATTAAAATCGGAGGTAAGCAAGCATCGACCACTTTCTGCAGGAAAACATGCGCTGCGACAAGATATTATCACTTTTTCGGCACCTGCAATACAAACACAAAAATTCTAAATAGTTAATTAATAAGACCTATTCTTTTGAACACATTTCTAGAGTGGTTGTATATTTTTTGTTAACGTAGTGCTTAATTTGCTATATTCAAAGATGGCTTGAGAAATTGGTGAATCGAGAAGAAAGCACGTTTTCTCACTGCAAATTCACAACTGTCAACTCATTGTTCTTCGCCATATTCTTTGTTTACCCGTTGCCACAAATGTCATTCTGTGGGAATGCGCAATCTTGTATTCTATCGTTCTTGGTGATTTCCGAAATAGCTATCACTTTTACCATTTTTTCAAATTATTCTGTTCTAGCAACACCACCTTATATGAATTCGCTTTGTGTTTATCAAAATATATTTCGTTTGCAATACGTTTTTGTGATATGCAGCCAAACGTCAAGCCTTTCAAAACTAATTTTAATCAAAATTTTTTTTTTGGTGGAGATAGTTGTTTTTAAATTAATGCATGGACTGTGCCCGAATCGCGGCATTCGTGATCGTATGATTACTCGTTTCGGATCGAATGAAACAAAATGGCAGCTGTTTTCTCCACAACACAATTTAAACGAGCGTACAGTGGTCGGAGAAGCTATGTTGTACGCGAAAAATTAGAAGGGCTGTTACGATTATAATAAAAATTCATCATCGTAGTATTTTAGTTATGCTAAATCTGAATGTGCCATAAAATGATTGGCTTGACAGTTGACAGGTGTCAAATGAACTTCTAATTTCCCTAAAAATAAGAAAATCTGTCAAACGGATTGCCAATTTTTATAAAAATCAGAGAATCTTTTTAGAAACGTTACTAATAAGGTTAATAAACATGCTGACCACGAATTCTACGTCAAATTAAAGCTTTGAGAGTTGACAGTTGTCAAATTGACTGTTAACTTTTCTGATAATAAGAAAATGTGTTTTAAATGCTACTGGTAAGGGTTTTAGACACGCTAGTCACGAATTTTACGTGAAATTAAAACCTTGAGATTTGACAGTTGTCGAATTCTATCTATTTCTCTAAAAATAAGGATAACTTCCCAAATTAACATGCTACGTTTTAAGGCTCACTGATCTCGAGTTCTATATTACCTTCCAACTTTTTAAGTTGAACAACCCTATTCCGGTTTTGCAATTGATCATCCGTCATTGTCGTGATTTTGTCATTGTCGTTGCACGTTGGCATTCCTAACAAAAAATGACAAGCGAAAAGCTTTTGTCAACTTACCATGCATGGAGAAAAGTTCATTGTTGTAGAAACAACTGGTCAACGCTATTATTTGCAAAAGTTTTCAATTTTTCCTAATAAACAATCGTGGTACAAAGCTCAATAAAAATATTTAAAAAATTAAATAAAAAATAAATAAAATGTTAATAAGCCACAATAACATTGACAAATACATAGTTTAGGAAGAGCCTGCCTGAAACTATACAAAAAAGCAAAATAAGCAAATGAATGTATAGAATTGACAACAACCACGCTGTCGAGTTTAAATAGCGGCAAATCAGCTGCACTTGATAGTAGTTAGTTGAATAAGGAAAATGAATTAGCAACAAGAGTTTACGGGATGTACATAACTCAGTGGTTAACGCTTCTGACTTTGAACATAGAATTCGCAGGTTCGATCCCTGCTGAAGTCTAGAAAAAAAGAAATCTTATGAAGAGATGTGGTGATCTCCGAAATAGCTGCTATAACTTCTACCGCTTAGAATTTGTTGCTTTTTCAATTCTTCCTAATAAACAATCGTGATACAAGGCTCAATAAAAATATGAAAAAATAAAATGTTAATAAGCCACAATAACATTGACAAATACATGAGCGCTGAAACACCAGAAAAGTGATTATTTGTGTGAAATAGATAAATTCGTATATCCGTAGCAAAGTGGAAAGATGTAAGTCTTGTATAATTACATACATACATATTTATGTATTTATATCTTTCATTTATGCATGAATACATTTGCAT